CCATTCTAACTCCATCCAAAATTGCTTCTGACTCCCTGATTTGTGCCTTGGGCCACTCAGTTTTTCACCTTTCTTTCAGTGGCAAATCAGTGAAATGATGCTTGATTTCAGGTACTTTGTAACCTTGAGAACCGTTTGTAAATTGGCAGTTCCCGAGTCCGCTGGATCCAGTCCCAGCCTCAAAGGCCCATAACCCAGTCTAAAAAGTCCACCTGTTTGCAGCAGAGTTTCTCTGAAACTACTGCAACAACCAGCAACCAGACAAGCCCGCATGCCCCTTACTTGTCACCACTGTCACAACCTCTCTGAAGACTCCTGCTATGGTCTGTGACATTGGAAGGGGGTGCATGGCCATGTGGGTGTAGCCAGATGCCCTGTTTCTGCCCTTATGGGCTGCAGTGGGGGCCTTCAGACAGGTTGCAAAGGCGGCAACAGGTAAGGGGCATGTGGTGGTGGCAGATCCACGATGTCGTGGCTGGTGGGTGTGTAAACACCTGTCCATTGCTGCACTAGCCCGGGGACTGATCCAGGGCAGGATAGCATGGATTTGGTCTGTGCTATCCTGCCTGTCTGCTTAAGGCTAAAACAGTCCCTTTCCTCAGGTTTGCAGTCTGAATCAAAAGCTGCACACAAGGAACAGGGATGGGAAGGAAGAAGAAATTTCAACCTTCAGGGCAATTTATTGTGTTCCATAAACCTTAGAATGGATTTTCCACAGATCTCTGTCATGACGTGACTACTCTAAAGTCATCTTGCAACTGAAAAATAATTACGAGTATTGGCCAAACATCTTTGGGTGGCACAGGATATCTTGGTGTAACCATCTAGAAATGGCTTGTCCCTAGAATGCGAGGAGGAGTTAATTGATGTTCGTCTCAATGCCCAGTTTATATTCTAACATGCCTTTTGTTTATGTTAGAGGTAGGAATTGTGGGAGACTGCAGAGGAAGGAACTCATGAACACATGTACGGAACCCCACTCAGATCCCCCTCAAGCTGCCCTCCCAATCCTCAAAAAATTTAGCTGAAAAAATTCTCCCTACCTACAAATTTTATTATTTCAAAGCTGTTTCAGAGGGCTCCCATCCCAAAACAGAGGAGACAGTACTGGGCAGCATAGACTAATGGTCCATAAAAGCAACCACAGAACATATTCAGATAACTGGTACTTTATAGCACTTCTTTCTGAACTTTGTTGATTTTAATGTCATTTCACAGAAGGCTTGATCAACTGAAAGCTCTAATCTGAATATGTGAACAGACTCCATTTAGGTTTGCGAATGATAGGAAAGTTCCTTTCCTTTGGGTTTTGAAGTCACTGCTTGATGATGCAGTAACCAAGTGATGGACATGAAAGTGTCAGCCAGCTCTTATATTTTATTTTACTGACGTTGAATTGTTTCTAGCCATTTCTTCTGTCTCCATTTATGTAATTTAATAAGTTACCAAGTCTTTTCTTATTTAAAACTGTTACATAATTATGGCTTGACCA